CAGTCCTTGTACTGCTGCGGGCTGCACACCGGTGCGCTACCTGGGGGACCAGATGGGAGGGCGTGTGTGACAGCTCAGGGCTCCTCCCAGGCCCGGCCCCTCCCCGCGGCCCCGTGTCCCCTCCCCCACTCCGTACCAGGCATGTGCATCATTCGGCAGCCGCACTTCCGAGCCACATAGCGGGTTTCGCAGGCCAGGCGACACCCCATTAGACTATAGGGAGGGCTGGGGCCGGGGCTGGGGCTGGGGGGACCCAGGGGACCAGCGGGTTCTGGCTCAAAGTCGGGGTCTAGGGATGCGGAGCTGCAGTCGCCCCAGGGAGGTGGCAGGAAGCTCAGCTGTAGAGGGGCCGGTTAAGGAGGCTTGGGGAGAAGCGGGCACCCAGGGAGAATGTGAGTGGTCACTGCGGGGTTGAGGCCCTGGGACAGGTCTGAAGAGCTGCAGGGTTGGGGTCTGAAGTGGTGTGGGCAGAAGGAGGGGGTGGGAGCCTTGGTGGGGGAAGGAGGGCTTCGCCCAGGCAAGGATACTTGCTGCTGCTGGCAAGACACAAAAACCTGGTAGCCAGGGGCTGCCCCAAAGCCCAGCTGGTCGATGCTAGGTGGCTCCTCCTGGGTGTGGATCTGCACTCGGATCCCCACCTCAAACGGGGTCTCCTCTGTGAGGGGGGGAGGGGACCTGAGGCCTGGGCTCCTGGAGGCCCTGGCTGCAGCCCCTCTCCCCAGGCCTGTGATGGGCCAACCCCGCCCGCTCCCTACTCATAAAGGAAGGACATGCTTCAGGTCCCTTCCCAGCACCTCCTCTCCTTCCCAGAGCCTTTTGCACCCCACCGGTGGCCACCCCCTAGCCTCACACGTGGGCTCCCCTACCCATGTCCTTCCACACGGGCAGGTACTCGTCCTGCTGCACATCCAGCATGATCTCCAGCCCATTGCCCGCTCCGCCCTTGGGGGTGGTGAGAAGCTCTGCCCCATCCGCACCGGAGTTGAAGGTGTAGCACTGACCCATCCTGGTAAAGATCTGGGGGTAGCAGACGGGTGCAGACCTCACCGGGGAGCAAGGGGCAGCCAGGCAAGCCCAGGGCCATGGGCCGCTCCCTTCCCCACCCTCTGTTTGGATTTCTTCTTTGAACACGGAGGCCCACATCTCAATGCCCCTCATCATACAGGTGCATGTAGTTGGACCCTCATGGGCTCCCATCACGCCACCTTCTCACCCCTTCTATCCGCAGCCGAGGGCACCAGTCCACAAGGCAAGTGTTTCTTAGGAGGCTGGGGTAAAAAACAGTGGGTCCCAGTTGCTCCCCTTCAGGACTGGCAGAATGTGAAGCAGAGGGAAACCAGCCCCTCCCTCGCAGACAGTGGAGTCTTCTGCCCTGAACCGGTTGGGCCCCACTTGTATCCCTCCACCCCCAGTAGTGGGGTTTCCATAGCCCAGACCTGAGCCCAGAGCCAGCCTGGGTGAGTGCCCACTCTGGAAGGTGTGACCTGGCACACTCTAGTCCAGCTGAGTGACAGAGCTGGTCTCAACAGAAAGGTGGGTATTGGTCAGGTGGGGGCCTGCATCCTGGCTGGGAAGGACAGGGTCCCAGGGCACAGGTGCTAAGATCCCTGGCTTTGGGGGAACCTGGGCTGCGAAGACTGGGATGGCCAGCCCTGGGCACTGCTGGGTCTCTGGTGGGACAGGGCGGGTGGCCAGCTCACCGCAGTGAAGTTCTCGGGCCCGCAGGGTCGGCCGCGGTAGCGACAGTCCAGCAGCATGTCCTCCAGCGTGTGCCCAGCCCGGGTGTAGAGTCGGGCCATGTCGAAGGTGGGGCTGGGCATGAAGCCAGGTGGTGTGGGGGGCTGGCCCAGTGCGCGCAGGAAGGCGGCGTGCTCAGAGGGCTCCAGGCCTAGCAGCGAGGGCCCGGCCCAGTGCAGGTCATTGGGCGTGAGACGTGAGCGGCGCAGCGGGTTGATGTTGCACAGGGTGATGGCCGGGAAGGTGAGCTGGTGGCTTTCGCGCTCGTCCAGGGCCGTCTCGTGATGGAACTCCCCATAGTAGCGCACCCTCTCTGCTACCTGGTAGAGGAAGGCAGCCATCGACAGGAGCATGGCCACGGCCCACAGCCCCCGGCGCGGGGTCAGGCTTCCTTGACCAAAGACATGGCTCAGCCCATGTAGCGTGCAGCTGCTGGCGAACACACTGATGTCCGAGGCCTGCTGCCAGGCCTCCTCCGGCCCTGAGGGGGGCTTCATGGCCTCCGCTGAGGTGAGGGAACAGAGAGGGCTGGGGTTGGTGGCCAGGCTGCAGAGGCTTAGGAGCAGGAGAGGGTCAGCCTGAGGTCTGGGAGGGGCTGGCCAGGCAGGGGACAGTGCAGAGGGAGGCAAGGAGAGGAGCCACACCTGAAAGGGAGATGGGGAGGCACTGGCCTGGCTGGGTTGGATGCAGTGACCTGAAGGGTCCAGCTGGCCTCGTCCGGGAACAGGCTGTGGCTCCAGGGCCGGGGCTGGGCTGGGGGCTCCGCCGCTGAGCAGGTAGAGTGCAGCCTGCGTGGCAGGCAGGGCTGGTCTGCTGCTCTGCTGAGCCAGAGCTGCCGCAGAGGATTGGGTTTCAGCAGTGAGGGGCATGGGGGCTGGCAGAGCAGCCTGGGGGGTGGGGAGGTCCCTGGAGCCCCAGGCTGAGCCATTAGTGCAGCATGGGGGGGCAGGGGTTTGTTGAGGCCAGAGGCGCCAGCAGGAAACCACAGCAACCCTGGTTGGGCTTGAGGAGAACCCAGAGATAATCGGGGCTGGGGGTGCCCTTGGGGCCTCTAGTTTCCCAGCTGCAGTCCCTGTGTGTGGGGCTGAGAGTCAGTCACTGGCCCTTGGCCTGGCTCCTCCCTCCCCACTAACCTCATCATGGGGGGGTGGGGGGGCGGGGGAGTTCATTTTGCAAAGAGGGGAGTTGACTCTTGACCAGGCTGGAAGGTGGTGGGGCGTTTGGCATTGGCCATCTCCTCCTCCTGAGCCCCCAGTGTTCCAGCCTACACCAGATGGCCCAGGCCTCTGCAGGTCCCATGTCCTGGGGGTGTCTCTTGAGTGACCCTCTTCCTGACCCCGCCCCCGCCCCCAACTCGTGCCCTCCTGCCTGGGAGGTTGGTCTCTATCACAATGAAAGTGGGCTCACCTGTCACACTCCCAGGTGACATAGTCCAGTTCCCAGGTATGACATGGTGTTCTATGATTTCACATCTTTTTTTACTTAACATATTCTGGGGACCACGTGATATCCGTACCTGGAAAACTTCCCCATTTTTAAATGGCTGCATACCCTTCCATTATGTGGACACACCCTTGTTGATATCACCGCGTCCCTGATGAATTCTGGGGGTTTCCAGTCTTCCATTACAGTGTGCTCAGCAACACTAACTCCCAGAAACAGAAGTGCTGGGTCAAGAGGCAACTTCATGGGTCATTTGATGCCACAAAATTCCTGGCGTAGGAGTCACACCATTTTGTGCTCCCAGCAGTAACACAGGAGTGTGCCTGCTTTTTTGTGAGCTGGTGGGAGGGCCCTGGGCCACAGAGCTGGCACATCTGACTGAACAAGTGTCAGAGGATCCAGAGCCTGTGGGGCAGTGGGGCATCTCCCAGCAGCTGGAGCAGGCACCTCCAGAGAGCAGAGCATGGCCTGCGACGCCACTGCCTGCTGGCCTGACGGATCAGGGTGTCTTGGGGACCCAAGCTGAGGGCCACAGGAGCCAGCCCGGTGGATGGGGAATGGGGAGACAGATGCTGCACCGGGGGCCTGAGAGAAAGCAGGTTTTTATCTCCATTAACTCACTGAAATCTGTTTCTACTTCATCTCTCTCCACAGAGCATTTGAGGCCACTGGGTTCATGTTGGTGGGCTCTTGGCTGTGAGTAGAAGAAACATAGTTCACAACATGGTCACAGGGCACTGCAGTTGCCTGTCTGATGGGCAGGGGCTGTCAACCCCATCGTGGGCACGAGAGGTGCTCAATGAACACATTTTGGACAGAAGAAGTGGGTAATACGGTTTATTGCCCAGATCTGACCACCTTCGGAGGCTGCAGCATTGTGAGTTTTAAGTACTTTACCATTGAAACTCTTAAAACAAACTGTCAAAATTAAGCACCGCCAGGCTCAGGATCCATGTTGAATAGCCAAAGGAGCAAAGGTCCAGGTTCAGGCTACACGGCGCCAACCTCATGGCCTTCCAGCTGAAGGCACATGTGGACCTCACTACTTTCCTAGCTGAGCGGGGCATGGGAGCAGGATTTGGAGAGGCCACCGTGAAGGGCTAAGGAGACCCAGAATCTGGTGTCAGAGGACCGAGGCCAGGGCTAGAGTAGCAGGAACTGGCCCAGCTGGCTCTCCTGAGGGAGGGGCCAGTGTGGACTGGGGGGAGGGGGCTTAAGGCCTGCTCTTGGCAGCACTAGGTGCTTAGTTGGCAAAGCAACCAGAAGTCAGCCCTGGGCTCTGCTTCCTGTGCGGGGGTGCCCTGGGATGCGATTTCTCCATCAGTCAGGGAGTGGGGCAGCAAAGCAGGGCGGCTGTGGCCGTGGTATTTTGGGTGGTTTCTGGTCCTAACCCACACACAGAAGAGGCTATGGAGTTCCTCACCCAGCTCCTGCGCTCACACCTGAGCTCTGCTTCTGCAACTGCTGCTGCCCCCCAACCATGCCTCACCCTCTGTGCCACAGGAGAAACCTAACATGTTTGGTCAGCCTCGAAGGTCTGGCACAGGCAATCCCTCTCGCCACCCTAGGGAGCAGGGCTCAGTGGGTACCTCAGCCGGATGTGGCTGTGAAAGGGGAAGGTTGCCTGCTGACAGGTGACGTGGGCAGAACCAAGGCAGGAGGGGAGTCCATGAGGGCTGGTGGGAAACCGCAGCTACTCCCAGGTCCTCATTCAAGCTTTGGGGCTGCCGGCTTCCCCTGGCCTGACCTCCTCCAACTGGTTTTGTATTTTGTCTGCCAAGGGGCTTAGCATTAACCCCTCCCTTGTGGTTTGGGGACTGTTGGTACTATGTGCTCCTGTGGCTGTGGCTGTAATTTGGGGTGTATTGGCTCCTGCTCTGTCCCCTTCAGGCTGGTGTCCTCATGTAGAGGGGGGCTGTCTACAATCTCACCTTGTTACAGACTCGGGGGGGGGGGGGCGGGGGGGGGACCATTAACCCCTCCCTTGTGGTTTGGGGACTGTTGGTACTATGTGCTCCTGTGGCTGTGGCTGTAATTTGGGGTGTATTGGCTCCTGCTCTGTCCCCTTCAGGCTGGTGTCCTCATGTAGAGGGGGGCTGTCTACAGACTCGGGGGGGGGGCGTGGGCAGTGGTGAGACAGCCAGGCTGGACCACAGTGCCCACTCCTCCTCTCCCTCCCCGAGGGCCTGTCAGGCATCCGTCCTGTTTGGACAAGGGAGGGTGAAATCTAGAAACAAGGACTGTGTGAAGGAAGAGAAATTGTTCTGAGGATGGGGATTGTGGGTTTGAGGGGTTGACCCAAGGTGGGGGTTCCTTCTTTCAGGGCCCAGCGAGGCAGTGGGGACGAAGGGGTGTTGGGATCAGCCTAGGAAATTGAGGTCTGGCATGGGTGTGGGGGAGAACCCCAGGGTGAATTCTCTACCCACCCCAACCCTGAATGTAGTCTCCTTAGAGCTGGGGCCTGGACAAATTTAGGCTGTCGGGTAGGAGGGAGGCTGGCAGAGCTCCTGGGAGGAGGGTCTGGGGGGAGATAGAGAACAGAGCATGGGCCCAGGACTCTGCCTCCTTCCCTGTGCAGCCCAATGACTCGGTGGCTCTGGCAGGAGGAAGGCAGCCAGGAGGTAGGTGGGGGAGGCGATGGGAGCAGTTCCAACTTCCTTCCAGCCCAGGGCTTGTCCTGGGTTTATTGTGGGCAGGGGGGCAGCCCATAGCCCAGCCCGGCCCTCTGGGGAGCTCAGTCCTCAGCCCTGGGCACTAATGCTTGGCGGTGACCAGACTGCAGAGGGCTGCTCTCAGGACTTTGGGTGGTGGTTCCTGGGGCCTCTGGGTGCCTCAGGAGACGGGGCACCCAGGGCCTGTCTCCTGATGAGCTCGGCATAGAGGCCACCTTTCTTCAGGAGCTCCTCATGGGTCCCCTCCTGGAGAGGAAGGAGGGGCAGATGGTCACCCAACACAGCTCAGAGTTCAGGGTCCTACAAAGCTGGCTTCATATTGGCCATCGGGCTCACTGTCACCTAAGCCAGCGTCCCTTCTGGGGACACTATGAAACCAAAGCACAAGTGGTTACAGATGCCACTGGCACATCTGTATTTGTAAGCAGCACTCCCTGCTGTCCTCCAGGCCCCCTCACAGCCCAAAGACCCCCAGCTCAGGGCCTGCATCCCTGCAAACCCTTCAGCTTTGGCTTGAACAGGCCCCACGCAACCTCCAAGCCTTGCTGCGAACCCTGCCTCTGGGTGCAGCTCCTGGCTGGTCCCTGGGGCTGCCTCTTCTGCACCTCAGCCCCAGGCACACTACACTTCCCTGGGACCCTGGGAGCTCTCCCGCCCCCAGGGGACAGAGGAAGACTCTGGGGACCTGAGAGGCCAGCGCTTACCAAAGGGCAGAAATTTCTGAATCCACATGGGGTGCTGCTTGTAGAAGATAGCCCCAAGCCCCCCAGGACCCGGCCATACGCTCACACAGCTCGGCTGAGCCACTGCTCCAGTGTGTCTATGGCTCAAGCTTCCCAACAACCCCCCGCCCCCTGGGCACCCACTAACCTCACAGACACAGCCCTGGGCCATGACGACGATGTGGTGGGCCCCTCGTACGGTGCTCAGCCGGTGGGCGATGACCAGCACAGTGCGGCCAGTGCTGGCTCGGTCCAGGGCCTCCTGCACGACCCGCTCGGACTCTGCATCCAGAGCGCTAGTCGCCTCGTCCAGGATCAGCACTGCTGGCTGCTTGATGAGGGCGCGGGCGATGGCCAGGCGCTGCTTCTGGCCACCAGACAGGGTTGTGCCCCGTTCACCGACGACGGTGTTGTAGCCCTCGGGGAAGCTGATGATGAACTCGTGTGCGTTGGCTTCTGGGGAGGAAGGGGACAGGGCAGGGGTCTGAAGCAGTCAGCTCTGCACTTGGGGGAGGTCCTGCAAAGGGGCACTGGGTCTGTTGGGAACTTCCCATCTGGCCCCTTGGGGTCCCCCCTTGGCCTGTGCGTGTTCGCCCTGCCTCTGCATCGGCTCCCACATCCCTGTGCAAATGCACACACACTCGTGCAAGGTGATGTGAGTTGTGCACACGGTAGGGCTCCAGGTGTCAGTGCCAGGATGGGACCTGAGGCTCTGGCTGCCTTCCCTGGCCTCATGGGTCTCCGCGGCTGTGGGGACATCCAAGACCTGATATAGGCTCCTGGGGGTGTGACAGCACAGTGGGATTCGAAGCCCACCACCCAGGCATTCTGGGGAGGCCACATTTGGGGAGAACTGCAGGGGTGGCAGCCTTGGAGCCAAAGAGCCTCCAGGTGACGGCAGTCACAGCAGTGAGGGGCAGGCTGAAGCCCCAGAGAAGCCTGGAGCGTGCTGGGTGCGAGGTACGACAGGGCCACCCAAGAGGCTGTGGAATCTGAGCAGTGAATAACCCAGCTGGTCAGTAACACGGGACATGAAGATGGCTACAGACGGAAGCGCCCCTCGGGAGGTGGAAGTTCAGCTAGACTGAGGCCAAAGTTCAAGAAGAGAGCGGAGAACCTGGTGTGCCTGTGCCCAGAGACATGCGGGGACATCAGCCAAGAGCCCAGAGACTAGACGATAGATAACATGCCCCAGAGGCTGGAGAGAAGACCTCCAAGATGAGCGACGCTGCAAGCTGCCACTCGGATGCCCTACAGGGCCAGTCCTCTCCTGGGTAAGTCAGAGAGGACACTCCTTTAAGTCAGAGAGCAGGACAGGGACGGCGCAGGAGCCAGAGGATGAATGACTATGAGATCACACCCACTTCCGGGTCTCAGAACGCAGAGGCCCCAACACCCAATCGCTGTGTCCCTGGCGGGTCCTGTACAGTTACACATCACTTAACGATTAAATACATTCTGAAAGCCCCAGCCGGTTTAGCTCAGTGGATAGGGCGTTGACCTGCAGACCGAATGGTCCCGGGTTTAATTCTGGTCAAGGGCACGTACCTTGGTTGCAGGGTCCTCCCCGGCCCGGGCTCTGGTCCGGGCTCATGCAGGAGGCAACCAATTGATGTGTTTCTCACATCGATATTTTTGTCTGTCTTTCCCTCTCTCTTCTACTCTCCCTAAAAATCAATGGAAAAACATCTTCAAATGAGAATTTAAAAAAAAAATTCTGAGAAATGCGTCATTGGTGATTTTTTTGTGCAGCCCACAACACGCCAGGCTGCGCGGGTACCATGGTCCTGCACGTGGTCCGTTGTTGACTAGGACATCATTACGTGGCCCGGACGGTGACTGCACTCCCTGTCGTGTCTGTCTGTGCAGCCTGCTTGTGCCTGGACACCCCTGTCCCCACAGGCCGCAGTTCTGGCCTATCTTCCCCGATGCACTGCCTATTCCTGTCCCCTCGGCCCCAGCCTCACACCATGGGCCCTGCAGACCCAGCAGGCACTTGGCACTCACCGACGACGGTGTTGTAGCCGTCGGGGAAGCTGGTGATGAACTCGTGTGCGTTGGCTTCCGGGGCAGCTGCGTAGACCTCTTCATCAGAGGCACCCAGCTTCCCAAAGCGGATGTTCTCCATGATTGTTGTTCCGAACAGGACTGGCTCCTGGGGTGGGATGGGGGAGTCCACAGGAAACCCTCTGACTTTGCCCCAACCCCGAGGGGGATGTCAGGAGAGGCTACTTTGGACAAACCAGGCCCCCTTGGAGGGCAGGCAGGGCCAGTTCAGTTACAGTTCAAGTGAGAACAGAGAACCCCTCCCCTCTGCAGGGATGGGCACAGAGGGGTGTGCACTGCGGCTTTCTTCTGCCGTGGAGGCAGCCTCGGGGGTTAGTAGGTGCCCGCTTAATCCATGCCCAGCGGGAAAGTGGACCCTCTCTGGGCGGCACCGCCTCAAGCAGAGGCAATGTCAGACCTTACTTAGTGAGTGAGTGGCCACCAGCAGTACCAGCAACATCGCATGGGCGTTTCTAGATCTCTGGACACTGGGCTTGTCATAACCCAGGGATCCTGAAACAGCCATCCCAGCCCCTTTCCTGGCTTTGATTGAGGAGCAGCCCTTAGTGAGACCAGGGCAGAGGGGTGGTGGTCCATGATGGGGGTTGGAGCCTTCCCCCCACCCCCAGTACAGGGATGAGGGGCTGGGAAGGAGAAAAGGCCCAGGTGCCATAGAACTGAGAGAGGCAGGGCCTGGAGGAGGAGGGAGACGTCTGAGTGCCTGGGCAGTGAGGAAAGCCTCTTCTCTCCACACCTGGCTGATGAAGCCGATGACCTGGCCCCGGAGCCAAGAGGGGTCGAGGGTCCGCAGGTCCTGCCCGTCTAGGGTGACCCTGCCTGCCGTAGGGTCGTAGAAGCGCTCAAGCAGGGAAGCCACGGTGGTCTTTCCTGCGGAATGGGGGTTAGGGAGACAGGGCAGTCAGGGAGGGGCATGGGTTTCAGGGGTGGCGGTGGAGGGGTTCTGCTCTGAGTGGCCACCACAGGAGGGAAGTCACAGGGTGAGCGGCTGTGGGTTCCTCTTACCTCCGCCGGACTGGCCCACAAGGGCTACGATCCTGCCAGGGGGCAGCGTGAGGGTGAAGTCTTTGAGGACCGGGAAGCCGGGGCGGCAGGGGTAGCTGGGAGGAGCCAAGACACCCTCAGTCAGATCAGGTTCCCGGTCCCTGGTTGCCCCAGTCCCTCCCGAAGTCTCCTTGTACCCGAGGGGGCTGATTTAGCGGGACAGTGGCCTGCAGGTCCCCAGCCTGGAGGGAATAACCCTGCCCCCACCCACTGACACTTACCTGAAGCTGACGTTGTGAAACGTGATGGACCCACGCAGCTGCTCTCTGGGGACACAGCTGCCTCCGGACAGCGGGATGCACGGGCTCAAAGTCATGTACTCAAACACCCGGGCGCCTGCGCTGAGCCCCCGCACCACCTGGGAGGGGATTTATGTGCAGTGAGGGCTCCCACACAGGCAGGTGCGGCATCCCCATGGCCAGACACCCAGTTCCTGCAGCGCATGGGTGACACTGGTGGCCACCGGACCCACCCCCGACTCTGCCACTCACCTGACCAAACAGGACAGAGAGGTTGGCCATGGACCTGTGAGGAGCAGAGAAGGGCTGAGAGAAGGCTGGCACCAGAGGGAGGCTTGGGTCTCAGCTGGGGACGTGTGGGCTGAGGCAAGGAAACGTGGGCTGGAGCCAAACGCAGAGGATGGTCCTGCAATCGGCAACCTAGGAGCCCTGGGCCCAGGCAGGTCACAGGGCGTCGCTTCTCCCTTCGGAGCCACATCCTTCCCTTAGGAGCGTCACTACCTTAGGCCCAGGACCCGACACGGCCTGCAGCCATCAGCAGCAGTCAGGGCTGTGAGGCCCACAGAGGCAGGTCAGAGCTAGATACTGAGCCACGGGGGAAGCAAAGGCTAATTAAGGGGGGAATGGATGTTAGTCCTTTTAGAAAGAAAACAGAAGCCCTGGCCAGGGTGGCTCAGTGGTAGAGCGTTGGCCTGTGCACCTAAGGGTCGAGGGTTCAATTCCCAGTCAAGGGCACGAACCTGGGTTGCAGATTGGATTCCCAGCCCAGGTTGGGCATGTGCAGGAGGCAACCAATTGATGTCTCTCTCTCACTTTGATGTTTCTCTCTCCCCCTCCCTCCCTTCCTCTGTCTTTAAATAAATGAAGCCGAGACCGGTTTGGCTCAGTGGATAGAGCGTCGGCCTGCGGACTGAGGGGTCCCAGGTTCGATTCTGGTCGGGGGCATGTATCTGGGTTGCGGGCACATCCCCAGTGGGGATGTGCAGGAGGCGGCTGATCGATGCTTCTCTCTCATCGATGTTTCTAACTCTCTCTATCTCTCTCCCTTCCTCTCTGTGAAAAATCAATAAAATATATTAAAAAATAAATAAATAAATAAATGAAAAAAATATCCTCGGGTGAGGATGAACAAATGAACAAACAAACAAACAAACAAAGAGAAGAGAGCACAGCACAAGGCAAACTCCGGGGACACCCCTGGAGCACTGTATCGTGGCTCTGACAGCAGGGAGGGGCGAGTGTGTCTCTGTCTAGACAGCAGGCCACCTCCTCCATCATGCAGGGCCGTGGGCTGCTGGGAGGGCGGTGAGTCACTGTTCTTAGTCACCAGGCCTGCGCTGGCCTGGGCGGCCCATGACAGTGTGTGGCTGTGTGTGCAGGGCCTTCCTGAAAGGAAAGGCTGACTCCTCGGCAATCTCACTTCTTCCAGCCCCGGGTGGGGGAGGGGGAAGCCTGCGGGGAAGTGGCTCTGGCGGCTCAGAGCATCAGCACCTGCCAAAGGGAGCAGGACACACTGAACAAGGAAGAGCCAGGACAGCGCTATCTGTGGGTGAGAAGGGAGAGATCTGGAAGCCATTAGTGCCTGGCAGAGGTGCCAGCAGCAACCGAAAACCAGATGCACATGACTCGCTGGTGAGCATGACCTTGCTCTCAGAAGCCAGGCCTCGGTTCTCCCTAGAGACCTGGCTTAGTCTAGGTGCCTCCCCATTGCTTGGGGGGCCCCAATGCCACCAAAAAGACTAACTGGATGGGGTCCAAAGGTTGGGGCAGCTTGAAGGCAGGGCAGCACTGCCTTCCTCCCCTCCCCACCCCTCCCCTCCCTCCTGCTGGACCCAGGAGGAAACACACCAGCTTCTTTAATAAAATGAAACCCAATTCCTCCAAGGTGGGTGGTGAAAATTCCCATGAGGTGAGGGGCCCCTAAAAGGACAGGCCAAAGGCCCGTGGCTATGGGAGCGGCCCACCTAGCAGCCTGCGAGACGCAGTGTAAACGCTCCCAGGAGGCGCTCCCAAGGCCCCTTGCATCTGTCTGAACTCTGTTGACCAGCTAGCAGAGCAGGGGGAGGAAGGAGAGGGTCTGTACACAGGCCAGAAGCAGGGTGGGTGGGGCCAAGGGAAGGCGAGTCTGAAGGAGGAGGCCAGGCCTGGAGGGTGCAGCTTCCCTCCTTACAAGACTTTCCTGCCACTGCTCCATGGAAGGCCGTCTGGTGAAGGCATGAAGGGAGCTGGTGGGTTCATAAGGGTCCTCAGGACTAAAATGAGAGGCCAAAGGTGGGCCTGGGGGAGGGCCAGCAGGGAGAGGCCCCAAGTGCCTGCACTATGACAGTTAGAGCCTCTGAGTCCCACGGCCACCAGGGAACAGTTCCCAGGCTGGAGGAAGGAGGGGGCCACCCAGGACCAGAGGGGCTAAGCAGGCCTAGATCAGAAAGCACCGGGCAGAAATGGGGCCGAGGACGCGAGTTCTTTCCACCTGCCTGTCCGGGGTTAGCTCCATTCTGCCCGGGACAATAAGGCCACGGTGAGGGATTCTGTGAGGAACAGGTGGGAGACATGGAGCGGAGCCAGGTGCCAATTGCCATCAGAATGGGGAGCAGCAGGTAAAGGGCACGGGGGGCGGGGGGCGGGGGGGGAGGCACCTGGGGTGAGGCTCTATTTCCTTGACGTGGTTGGTGGTAACACAGGTCTTGGCTCTTCATGACTTACTATGTAATATTCAATCTTCAACTACTTGTTGGAACATATAAGTTTCATATATTTTTGTGCACATGGGAAGTGTGTGGAGAAGTGGCAGAAGGCACTGCTACTGTTTACTGGGAAGGAAGATACAGGGAAGGGGGCCTGAGGCCATCTTGTGGCAAAGTCAGCCTAGCTCTGGGCTGCCCATGGGCAGACGGGGCCCAGAGGAGCAGGTAGACTTCAGAGCAACCAGCACAAGGAGCCACCAGGGTGCAGGGCTGGGGAGCAAGTCAGGCAGAGGCGGGCAGGCCAGCTCTTACGAAAAGTGGTCTATCCAGAATCTTATTCTGCCCTCAAAAGAAAGAAATTCTGACACAGGCTACATCGTGGATGAACCTGAGTGAAATAAGCCAATCACAAAGGACAAATCCTGTGTGATCCCACTTACAGGAGGCACCCAGAGTAGTCAGATTCAGAGACAGAGAATAGAGGGGTGGGTGCCAGGGGCTGGGGGAGGGGAGCATGGGGGTTAGTGTTTAATGGAGACAGCGTTTCAGTTTTGCAAGATGAAAAGTTCTGAAGACGATGGTGGTGATGGTTACACAACAGTGTGAGTATATATAACACTACTAAGCTATAACTTAAAAATGGTTAAAATGGTAGCCCGGCCAGTGTGGCTCAGTGGTTGAGCATCAAACCTATGAACCAGGGGGTCATGATTCACTTCCCAGTCAGGGCATTAATGCCCAGGTTGTGGGCTAGATCCTCAGTGGGGGGCATGCAGGAGGCAGCCGATCAATGATTCTTTCTCATCATTGATGTTTCTAGCTCTCCCTTCTCCTTTCTCTCTGAAATCAATAAAAAAATATATTTTTAAAAAAGGTTAAGATGGTAAATTTCATGTCATGTGTATTTTACTATAATTTTAAAAATGTGCCCTTGCCAACTTGGTTCAGTGGTTAGAGCATTGGCCTGAGGACTGAAGGTCAAGGGTTTGATTCTGGTCAAGGGCATGTACCTGGGTTGCAGGCTCAATCGCCAGACGCGTTGGTGTGTGTGAGAGGCAACCAATCGATATGTCTCTCTCACATTGAGGTTTCTCTCCACCCCACCCCCATCTTTCCCTTCCACTCTCTCTAAAAATCAGTTGAAAACATATTCTTGGGTCAGGATTAACCAAAAAATGTCTTAAAGCCCCTGAGTGGTTTGGAAGGCTGACCTGACAGCTGCATCTCTGAGTGGAGTCAGTGAAGCAGGCTGGAGGGCGCTCGGGGAGGAGGGCCTGTGCTTCAGGGGAGCAGCAGGGGGCACGCGCCCTTCAGCCCACAGCGCTGCTGAGGAAGGGGGCCGCCCACACTCACCTCTGCACCGTCTGGGAGGCCACCAGGAAGGACATGAGGTCTCCCCCGGTCAGCTGCTGTCCAGCCACGAGGGAACCCCCAATAAAGAGGGTGCCCAAGACCATGCCTGCATGGGGAACGGACAGGTGGTTAGGAAGGAAGCAGCTGGAAGCACAGGGCAGAGCCTGGCCCAGGTGGTAGTCCCCAGTTCCAGACTCTGCTGTGCCTCCACTGGCTGAATTCTGGTGAGTCACCTGAATGGTCTCCGTCTTTGGAAACAAGTGGTGGGAGGAGGGGCCACGTCCTTGCTTCCTCCTGGCCATGCTACACATAGCTCGGCTGTGACATCAGCCCACCTGCCCATTGCCTGCCTGCGTTACTAGCTTGGGCTCCTGGCACTGAAGGACATCAAGCAGGTGAGGGCTGCCCTGCGGGGACCTGTCCTTTGCTCCTCCCAGCCCTGCCCCCCAGGCGAGGCCTCTGCTCACTCACAGTTGAAGGCGATGTTGGAGAGCCCCTGGAACAGGGCGATGCCTCTGCCCAGTGCCTCTGCCTTACAGCGGGACCCTTCCAGCTCTGCTCCGTAGCGTCTGGGGACAGAGGCCGAGCCCAGCCCTCAGGAAGCAGCCAGCCTGGGCGCAGGGTATGGGAGTGCATATGGGGAGCCCCCCTGCTTTGGGCTCCACCCCTGCCCGGGACTCACTCCTCTTCCCGCTGCTCCATGGCGAAGGCTCTCACAGTCCGAACATTACCCAGGGCCTCATCCGCTACACCTGTTGCCCTGGCTATCTGCAAAGATTCCAGGAGATAGGAAGTCAGGTGGGTGATGAGGAGGAGTGACAGAGCAGAGAGAAAGGGTAGGCTAAGGAGGATGGGTGGGAATTCTGGTACCTGCTCCTGACACTGGCGAGACAATTTTCGGAGAGCTGAGCCCATCAAGGTGCCAACTCCCATCAGGGAGGGCATGGCCACCAACATCAGCAGCGTGAGGCGTGTGGACAGCATGGACAGGGACACCAGGCAGCCAACCACCTGGGTGCAGCTTCGAAGCCCCTGAGTAGAGGGAAGGAGGCAGGAAGGCAGTTTTGGCACCAGCACCACAACATGGGGGATGTTATGAAGGGTCAGCTGGCTACAGCTCTACATCCACAAGGCCAAGGCTACAGGTCTCACTCCTGGGAGGCCAACTGGTGGCCTACTGGTCACAGAACATAACCCTTTCTTTTCTTTTTTTTTTCTTTCAGTAAATGGTTTTAGACATTTTATTACTAGAGGCCCAGTGCACAAAATTCGTGTACTCTGGGGTCCCTCAGCCTGGCCTGCGCCCTCTTGCAGTCCGGGAGCCCTGGGGGAATGTCCGACTGACAGCTTAGGCCCGCCCCCCACGGCAGTCGGACATCCTTAGTGCTGCCGTGCTACATCCTTAGTGCTGCCCGGAGCCCTGGCTGCGTTCCCCAGCTGTGGGCCCGGCTCAGGGCTCTGGCTGAGCTGCGCTCCCCTTTGTGGGAGCGCACCGACCACCAGGGCGGCAGCTCCTGCGTTGAGTCCCTGTCCATGCTGACCATGTCATAGTGACTGCCATTTGGTCAATTTGCATACATAGGATTTATTACATAGGATTATTACATAGGATTATTACATAGGATTATTATTAAAATATATTTTTATTGATTTCAGAGAGGAAGGGATAGAGAGATAGAAACATTAATGAGAATCATTGATCTGCTGCCTCCTGCAAGCCCCACACTGGGGATCGAGCCCACAACCTGGGCATGTGCCCTTGACCAGAATTGAACTCTGGACCCTTCAGTCCGCATGCTGACGCTCTATCCACTGAGCCAAACTGGCTAGAGCCATAACCCTTACTTGACAAGCAGGCATAAGAGGCTGGATGAGAGTGTCTGTGGAGATGGCTTCCGTCCCCTGACAGATCCCAGTGTGCCTCTCTTTCTGCTCTAGAAACTGATGCTGTGGGCTGGTGTCTGCCGTGATCCAGCAGCCACAGTGCCAACAAGGTGGACGAGGAGAGGACATCAGTAATATAGTAAAAGCCATCGCTCATTCTCCTCAACGCTGCCAACGTGCCAGGCCTCCTGCGGACCAGGTGATTCTGCTGTTGGCAAGCTGGGCCAGGAAAGGCTCTTGTCTGAGTCCTTGGGAAGGTTTCCGGGGGAGGTAGGATTTCAGAACAGGAGAGAAACAGCTTATCCTGACCTTGGACACTGCCCTGGCACTCTTCCCTGAACTTCCCCAGTCCTTCACCCACACCCTCACCAGGCTCGGGGCCCAAAGGACAGGGCGGGCTGGCCCAGTGTGTCTGAATGCGGGGGGGGGTGTGGGGGGGTGTGGGTAGGGAACATGGGGCACTGACCTGGGAGATGACAAGTTTGAAGGACGATTTAAACTCCTGCACGTCAGTTGTCAATCGGCTCACCAGCTGCCCTGTCTTTTTAGCATCAAAGAAAGCAATGTCTTGTCTGGCAGTGGGACCCGGGGCAACAGTGGGGGAAAGAGAGAGACGTTACTTCAGGATAAGGCCCCACCTCCAGACATTCACTGGGACCCCCGGGGGGCCCATCGGTCACTCCTACCCGCAGTCACACCCTGCAGCTGGCCGTACCGGAGCAGGTTGCTGAAGAGGGCCCTCCGCATGTCCAAAGCCATGCGCTCACCGATGCGGGACAGGAGCACCAGGTACCCAAAGGTCAGCAATCCCTGGGAGAGAAGCAGGGGCATTCAGGGGCGCCCAGGCGGCTTTTCTGTCTGCCCCGGCCCCCTCTCCTGCCATACCTGGAGGCCGTAGAGGAGGAGCAGGTGGGTGCTGAGACTCCGGGACTCTTTCAGGAAGTTGCCCATGTGGTCCCTCGTGTACTTGGCCACAATCTCCACCAGCTGGCCCAGGAGTAGCGGGATCTGCACATTCACCAGTGCTGCACCCAGTGCCAGCTGGGGGAGCAGAGACATTGAGAGGGGGCCAGACTCTTCACCCCCAGCTCTGACCTTAGCCCTTCCTCTCCTGCTGCTGTCCATGCTTTGGCTGCTCTTGTGCCTCTTTGAGAGCCTAAGCTCAGGCTGCCAGGCCCTGGGGACCCCTGTACCCTGTACACCCAGGTTCTCCTGTATCCCTGGCCTCCCTCCTCAAGCCAGCCCAGGCTGCTTCCCAAGGTCTCCTAAGACTCCACGAGGCAGGCAAGCTGTCCCCACGCAGCTCTGGCTGGGGCTTCTGCAAACCCTTGACTGAGTTGCTCCCTATCCCTGGTTTTAGGGATGTGGGGGAATATCTCACCACGATGGCTGCCCCCAGGATCAGCAGGTGGGGGCGCAGAAACTGCCAGAAGAGCTTCCAGTTAAAGCGGGTCTCCACGTCATAGGGTTTGGAGGCAGGAGGGGCCTCTTCTGCCTCACACAGCGCCACAAGGCAGAGGCGGGGGCACTTACTCAGCACCACGGGGCCCAGGAGGGCTCCCCCAACCCAGCACCAGGAAGAGGGGCTTCGACCTGGACCCGGTGGCACTTGAGGGAGGCGAGCCCGGAGCTGGGACCGCAGCTGGGCCACAGCCCTGAGGAGATAGGAGCTGTGGCGGCCATCAGAGTGCCTGTGGGGAGAGAACTGCATTGATGGCTCGAGGCCCCGCTGATCATGAACCAGCCGAGCCCTGGGGTGAGCCCTCTGGAGGGCGGCACTTCCCTTCTGCCAGGCCCTGCACTGCATTTCTCAGGCTGCTCTGAAGCAACTGTTTCTGAGACAAACATACACATGCAAAGTAGCTGAGGAATGAGACAGGGGCATGTGCACTCACTCAGACAGCCAGGCCCTCTCAGCCTCCAGAGGCACCTCTGGACCAGTGACTGGCTGCAACCCACATGCTGTCAGACCCCAGGACCCAGGATGGCAGAGCTGGAGGACACCCTGCCTGGCAGCTAGTTCACGGCACTCCCTCCCGGTGGAGGACACAGAAGTCGTGAGTGCACACGGCTCAGAGAAGAGGGGGAGAGCACCCAGCCAGGGCCCTGCCTCCAAGTGTTCATGGTCTACGTTTCATCTTGAATCCCTGGGAGTGAGATGCCATTATTCTCACTTGGTAGATGGCAAAATCATGTGGGGCTGACAGAACTAATAAACTGTCCCCAAGCAGCAGAACTGGGACTAGAGGGGAACCCGGACGCGGGATTCCAGGATCTAGGCTTATTCTACTCTGCCCTCTGGGACGTGCCCAAGGCCATGTGTGGCAGGGCCAGGACCCAAGTCTTCTGACTACTGGTCAATGCTTTCTGCATCCCATCACCTGGCTCCTCCCAGGCCTCCAGTGCTCATGTGACAGTGTACGGAGGGAAAGTGTGACACGCTCCCACTCTGCCAGCTGAAGGAAGAAAGATTAAAAATGCAAATAACATATCTTGTCATCTCGGATAGGCCAGGATCACCTCCTTTTTCCTGCAGCTTCTGCATCTATAAATAGCCATGTAGAGTTGTGTGCCTACTGTGCCCAGTGCTCTGCTGTGAGGCAGGGAGAGCAGGAGCTGAACAGGAGACCAAGTAAACACCTCCTGGCAGTCACACTTGCAGAGTGTGGGGTAGGGGAACCGAGGGGCACGGCACTCCTCGTGCAGAGCGGGGACTGCCCTCCTGTCTGAGGGAGCAGTCATTACAGTCCCTGTCACAGCTGGACTTTGGAGGGCAGTGAGGACCACTTCCAGTGTTTAGGTTGGGGTGGGTGTGACATAATCAGATTTGCATTTTAAAGATCATAGCAGAGGGATGTGGCTGGGAGAGGACAAGACTGGCCACAGAGGCCTGTTAGGAGTAGAAGTTATAATCAAGAGTATATAGTGGGATGCTCAAAAACCCAAATGAGATTATCGATGGGGAAAGGCAGTGAGTGAGTTTTGCCTTTACGGTGATAGTGCTTTATATTCCCAGGTCCTCCTAACTGCAGACTTCACCTCAACCTTCCCTTCTTGCAGGAGGCCCATGCTTCTTGCCACCTCTACCTTATGCCTCCACTCACCCCTTTCCACCTTCCCGGTTTTCAGGTCTTGTTTTCACTGTGTAATTTATGTCTGTCCTCAGGTGGGTTTTTTTTTGGTTAATATCCTGAGGATATTTTTTCCATTGATTTTTAGAGAGCAGGAGTGGAGAGAGAAAAATCCTACATTGATTGGTTGCCTCCCACACTCGCCCCAACCAGGGACTGGGGCCCAGGGATCAAACCTGCAACCCAGGTACATGCCCTTGACCAGGAATTGAACCCTCCACCCTTTGGTGCTCAGGCCGATGACCTAACCACTGAGCACACCAGCCAGGGCTATCCTAAGTGTAAATAGAGAAGCTCACTCTCCTTCTGCCCTGTGTAACTGTCCAACTTCCCCATTAGACTATCCTAGGAAACTCGTATTATTCCCCATCGCATCCTCACCACTTAGCAGTGCTCAGGAACATAATGGATGTTTAAAAAATGTTTGTTGAGTGAATGCCCTCATTAGAAATGCAGAACAACCGGACCTAACACACAACTTCGGGGTTTGCAAAGTTTCAGATTTACTGAGGCCAACAGTAAAAAATTCATTTTACAAAGTAACCCAGTACGGAACATAAATATGTCACACAAAGTTGAAATGCTTCACAAAATGATACTTTCTCTATTTTTAAATATGTATTCTATTTTCTATTATATTCACTTTTAAATGGTTCCAACTCATTAAGTTCATTTTATGATCTACTGTGTTATAACTTGAACATTTGAAAAACACTGCACAAAAGCACGAACAAATACTTGATTATTATTGGGTCTCTTTCTTTGGGTTTCTCTTTGGCTTAAATTATACTAATAGCCTTATTCTTTTCCTACTGATTGTTCAAACCTTTTTACCATGGACACTTTCCAGCTTTTCTTTAATATGTTGATTTTTTAAAATTGATTTCAGAGAGAGGAAAGGAGGGGGAGATAGAAGTATTAAGGATGAGAGAGAATCATTGATCGGCTGCCTCCTGCACGCCCCCTACTGAGGATTCAATCCACAGGCCAGGCATGTGCCCTGGCCAGAATCCAATCGTGACCTCCTGGTTCATAGGTCGACACTCAACCCCTGAGCCACACCCGCTGGGCTCCAGCTTTTCTTATCTTCTCCAAACTAAGGCTCTAAGCAGGGCATATTAAGGATGAGAGAGAATAATTGATCGGCTGCCTCCTGCACGCCCCCTACTGAGGATTCAATCCACAGGCCAGGCATGTGCCCTGGCCAGAATCCAATCGTGACCTCCTGGTTCATAGGTCGACACTCAACCCCTGAGCCACACCCGCTGGGCTCCAGCTTTTCTTATCTTCTCCAAACTAAGGCTCTAAGCAGGGCTTGGTCACTGCCCAGAACTCGCAGGTTACTTCCCAGCACCGGTACTTCTGGCTCCAGCTCCACCCGGCCCCTGCCCTGTATCAATCGGATGGATTTACCAAAGCACAAGTCCACATCCACCCACCCTGGCAATCTGCTGCTGCTCGACCCTCAGATCATTCACTCCAGGGTCACAAGGAACCAGTGCCTTCTCATAAAGCATTTACAATGGAGTCTCCGTTTGGGGTCCTCTTCGTTTCCCACCCCTCTCTTTCTCTCTCTTTGGACCCATGTGTGCACAGTGAACATACAAGAACACACATGGACAACTTACTAGTCTGCCTGTCTTTGCTGAAAGTACCCGCATCTAGGAACCATTTTTGTTCAGCTCACTTTGAATCTTGGGAGCACCACTAATACTAAGTGTCTCTGGACACGACTCATTTTTCCCCCACAAGGAAATATGATTTAATTCTACACATTTACAAGCCAAGATAAAATAGAAAACAAAATAAAACAACCGTGGAAAACCAAACAAGACCAGCAGTCCAAGACTCGAGGTCACTATTTACTGCAGCCCAGGCTGCGGCAGCTGCGTCGTTGAGGCAGGACCTGGGTCTGACCCAGACGCTGCCTACAGCAGGGTTGTTCTGGGGTCCATTCTGAACTTCAGAACTTGAGGCTGAAGCCAGGGCCTGCAGCCGAATAAATTTTATCCAAATTGCCAGACCAATTAATTACAAGAGGACAGGGCCGGAACAGCACCGAAGGGCCAACACCTGTGCAGCTCGGCGCCCCCTGGTGGGGAGGGAGAGCGGGTCGGGCGTGGTCGCGGACCCAGAGCGTCCCCTCAGTCGGCCCCCACGCGGACACAGATGCGCGGAGCCTCCTGCAGGCACCAGGCTCATCGTTATGAATAATTGAGGCCAGTTCTCCGGGGAGTGACATTCCACCCTTGGCCCGGTCGGACTACAACTCCCAGCAGGCCTCGGGCGAGCCCGGGACTCCAACTCCCGGCGGCTCCGTCGCCCGGCCAGCCGGTCAATGGCCCCGCGCTCTCAGTAGGTCTTTTCTTTACCTGACGGTCGAGAATGTCTGGAAGCGGAGGGGGAGTAGCGGCCTGCCTAGGACAGTACCTCCCCGAATCCCGACCCGAAATAAGTGCACCAACATGATGGGGGGAAGAACAGGAGCAGCCAGCAACAGCAGTTTCACCCTTATCCTACTAAGGACTCCATGTTGGCTCCAGCCACCATCCCGACAACCCCCTCGCGACTCGGTGCTGATTGGAGGAAAGAGGCATCAATGTCGTTGCAGGCTATGATTGGGGAGAACGTTGTCAGTTCTCCCTCCGGAACTGTGATTGGAGAGAGCCACCTGCCCCGCCCAGGCTGTGGGCGGGGCCGAGCAGGTTGGGGCAGTGCCCTGGCCCGCGGCCTGACGGGGCTCTGGGTGGAAGTTTTGAGTGTGCTCAGTGCGTCCCCTGCCCCGGGGTATCCATAGTAACGCGTCAGCCGCAGCCCTCCCTGCTGTTCTATCCGCGCTCCCAGAGGACTCTAGAGCTCCCCGAGTCTCCTGGGAGTGTAGAGCGCTGGCGCTGGGAAAAGAAGGGACAAAAATCCGCTCCGGAGTTCTTTTTCAAAACAAGTGCACGTGCCTTGCCACCCACCCCGCTCTCCTAGCCAGTGGTTGGCAAACTCATTAGTTAACAGAGCTAAATATCAACAGTACAACGACTGAAATTTCTTTTGAGAGCCAAATTTTTTAAACTTAAACTATATAGGTAGGTACATTGTTATTAACTTAATTAGGGTACTCCTAAGGCTTAGGAAGAGCCACACTCAAGGGGGCAAAGAGCCGCATGTGGCTTGCGAGCCGCAGTTTGCCGACCACGGTCCTAGGCTGGTCAGAGCTCCGGGAACGGAGCCAGGTATAATTGAGAAAAAACTCCCCAGGTGGTTTTGATACGCTCCCTCTACTCCATGATTGAGAACCACTGATATCGAGGTCTGGTGGCTTATCAAGGCACGACCTCAAGAGCATCTCCCCACAGATGTCTTCCTCACCGCAGGTCAGGCTGACTAAGGCTCTCACCTTAGCACAGCTCTTGAACCTCTGTTTAGTGCTTACTTCTTCCGTGTCATTATTTGTTTGCGTAGCTGCTTCCCCCACTGGCTGCGACTTTTTTTTCAGTAGTGGCTCTGTCTCATTCATCCGTGCCCCCATCCCCTTCAAATGCCTGGCAGGAAAAAGTGCCCTTTATATTGACTTGAACTGGGGGTGGTGGTAGGGAGGCTGTAAATGGATGAATGTGGGGTGGCACTCGGTAAGAAAAGGTTCCAGGATTAGTCTGAGGTTGGGCTGGGCATACGGAGAGGGTGGGTGGGAGGGGTCCTATAGTGAGTGTAGCAAAATATTGAGGTTGAGGGGAGAACAGATGAAACCCCACAGAATCCATCTGGACAGATGTCTCTGAGAGTTCATGGGGAATTCCTATCCCCTCTACAATGTGGGATTCCATTTGGGGCACTAGTATGACATCTCTAGAAAGGACAAGTCTTGAATTCATAGCTCTGCCTCCTGATCAGGGATAAAACTATGCAAGTCCTGGGCTAGGATGACAGTTGTCCCCGGAAGGAGGCACAGAAGGAGAAACGGGCATATCTGGACTCAAAAGTTGTGGGCAATTCTATGATTGCCTCCATATTCTTCCAGTGATCAATCTGTTCCACTCTCCATTTCATGGACACTGGCCCCTACGTCAGCCCTTACCCTAAGCCCAGGAGGCCTGACACCTGGTGGCTGAGTCAGCAACTCAGGCATGGGCTTCAGGAGGAAACCTGGTGATTCAGGACCTCAAGAATGGCGTTGGACAAGCCACCAGGCCAGCTGCCTCCTCCTCCTCACTGACGTGGCAACAAAGAACACAACTCAGTCAATTCATTCCTTGTTATCCAAATTATTGTTCCAAATCCCTGACCCCCAGCTTCCCTCTGCTGGTTCAGTCCTGATGCTTCTCAGGGCCTAAAAAACTGGATCAGGGCTTGGGGGAGAGGGTTTCATTGTTCAAGAGGATAAAGAAGTAAGCATAATGGAACCCCCAAGGAACCCCGCTTTTCTACTGTAAGCTCCAAAAACCCACTTCTCACATACAAAATAGCTGCCTCTCCTTTCTTCCCTTCCTTCCTTTCAGTGTCCCCTGACCTGGATGTGAAGTCGGGCAGTCTCCCCTCTTCCCTTCCTGAGTACTATCAGACAAAATAGGCAGCCTTTCCTTTCCTTCCTGTTTTTGGTCTTAAAGCATTTCTCTGTTGATCACTTTGTGTGTGTGTGTGTGTGTGTGTGTAGGGAGAGAAGACATGATTTTAAGAAATCAAAGATGTAATATCTTGGCCCCATAGTCCAATAATCTTTGATGGGTTTTCGTTTTGCTTTTGTTATTTTGGCTGCTACTCTCTAGATTCCCCTTCAAATCCTCTTGAGGTCTGAGGATGGGACACTAGATGTCTCCTCTGGTCTGTTCTTCAGTCTCCGCCCCTTCGGCTGATGCCCCGCCCAGGTATGGAGGCGGGGCCTGAGAGCTTCAGTTGCAGGTTGTCCTGGAAGGGGGTGTGAGTGCTTATATAGGTGACTGGGAGCTGGGACGCCTGGGGCCTGCCCCCACTGAGTCACTGTGTTGTTGTCACTGTCTTGTCAAAGTTCCTGCTCAGCTCCTCAAACCTCTGTGGAAGCAGCAGCGGCTGCCATCCTTCCAAACTTTCAGGAGAAGCCACCAACCTGATGGTGAGGCGAATGGGCTGGGGGAGGAGCAGGGGGCAGCTGGGGCAATGGGGAGACCTGGGGCCTGGATCAGTGCCCCTCCTCCCCATGCCACTGCCTCCTCTCCCTCCTCCTCCGTGTCGGGGGCCTGGGGGAGGGAGGCTCTCCATCTTCTCTCTGTCCCCTGCTCCTCACACGAGAAGTGTGCCTTCTTCAGTTCCTCCCCCAGTCCTGGGGCCCTCCTGCCCAGCTGTACAGACCCCAGGGGCTTCTCAGCCTCCACACAGGGCTCTCCCCACCCCAGCCACACCCCCAACACAGGTAGAGCTTGTGATGACACCCATCACTGCTCCTCCCTCCTGGGGTTCCCATTCCACCCCACCCCTGGCTTCGGTGACTGCCCCTCCTTCACGCCGATGCCCCCAGGACAATCCTGGGCTGCGGATAGGCCCTCTGATCCCTGAGCAGGATTATGAGCGGCTGGAGGACTGTGACCCTGAGGGGTCCCAAGACTCACCCCTCCATGGGGAGGAGCAGCAGCCCCTGCTTCATGTGCCTGAAGGGCTCCGAGGTGAGCATGTGGGTGTGTGTGGGGGGTGTGGGTTGGGGAGGGCCTGGGGATCGAGGCAGCAGGTTGAGAGTGTGGAAAGCTTGCTTAGATGAGAGCTGAGTCCTAACGCTCTTCTCTCTGTGCCCAGGCTCCTGGCACCACATCCAGAACCTGGACAGCTTCTTCACCAAGATATCCTTTGTACTGGACTTGGCAGGGCAGGTGCCATCCTTGGCCGGGGACTCTAAGGGCGCAGGGGTTGGGGGACTTATTGGTGGAGTGAGGGGAAGGTATGCTCAGGGAAGGCCCATCATGTCTCAGGCTTATTTCTTGACACACCTGCCACATCTACAGCTACCACCAGCGGAATGGCTTTGCCTGTATCCTGCTGGAGGATGTCTTCCAGCTGGGGTGAGATGCTTGTCCTGGTAGCCCCTGTGCTTCTAGCCCACCCAGAGCCTCCCCAAGCAGCCAGGGGCTCAGCCAAGCGGGGAGGCAGACTGAGCTGGCCTGGAGGCTGGGCAGCAGCCCTCTGCTCTCAGGCTAATCACTGAACTCCCGGCTCTCCAGGCAATTTGTTTTCATCATCACCTTCACGACCTTCCTTCTTCGCTGCGTGGATTACAACATTCTCTTTGCCAACCAACCAAACAACCAAACAAGACCTGGGCTGCCTCACAGCAAAGTGACTTTGTCAGATGCCATCCTACCCTCGTCCCAGTGTGCCCAGCGGTGAGTGACACCTGGTGGGGGTGGGTGAGGGAGAGGAGCAGACAAGAGCCACCTGTTTTTTGTCCCTGGGCTCGATCATCGGTTCTCCAAGGTTTGGGTCTCAGAATACTGTACCTTGTATTCCAGGGGTGAGGAACGTCTGGCCCACGGGCCGTATAAGGCCAGTGAAATCATTTGGTCTGGCCAAGCCAAGCCAAGGCATTAGGGGTGAGTTAATTAAATGTTTGACCAAATATAGCAGGCTAATTTTTAAGTTAATAATTTTGTATGGCCTTGCAAATGATGTTATAAATATCCAAATGGCCATTAGCAGAAAAAAGGTTCCCCACCCCTGTTTTATACCCTTGAAATTTATTGAGAACTCCAGGAACTTTTGCTTATGAGAGTCATATCTATAGTTACCTCATTAGAAATTAAAGCTGAGGACAGCTGCAGAACCCAAGAGCACACATTCCATTGGCTGTCAGTGTAGCCTCTGGAAAACTCTACTCTATGTTCGTGAAAGAATGAGAAGAAAAGTGGCAGAAACATTAGTATTACCTGAAAAAAAGTTTTGACCTTGCAGACATTTTCAAGGGTCTCAAGGACCGCCAGACACCCCACACTTTGAGAACCGCTGGTCTTGCTGGATCTCCTGCATGACTTTCCTATTGCTCCCCAAGTCTTGCCTCCCTCTCCATGGGGGTCCCATTTTCTCGCTATGTTACCCTCCACCCCCAGGATCCGCTCAAGCCCTCTGCTGGTCTTCCTTCTGATCCTGGCTGCGGCCTTCTGGCTCGTTCAGCTGCTTCGCTCAGTCTGCAACCTCTTCAGCTTCTGGGACATCCAGGTGTTTTACAGGGAGGCCCTGCACATCCCCCCGGTGAGCTGGGTGGGGGTGTCTGTGTGGAGGGGTGCCATGTCATGGGGCAGAGTCCGGGGAGGAGTAGGGGCTGTACGGACAGAAGGGCCCATTGGAAAGCTGGCAGAAGGCCTCACTGACACCTACTCTAGGCCCCGAATAATCTTAGGAGGTACCACCACTTATAAAACACGGTCCCCACTCTAGTGAGGCCTAGTGGGTTTAGATGGGTTATAGAAGATTACGTACAGTCACGTGCTTGTGATGTTTACAGGAGGAGGAACTGGGGTGGGGTTGGGAAGGACAGGAGGTTGGGAGGCAGGCCACGCCCGGATGCAGGGAGCAGGCAGGCAGTGAATACCTGTGGGCAGCAGTGAGGAGAGCAACCCACCGCCTGCATCCCGTTCTGGCTTTGCCCCGTGTTGCGGTCAGCAACTGCACGGAAAGTGAGGAGAGCAACCCACCACCTGCATCTGTGCCCAGGCCCTGCAGGGTGATCCACTCCCCGTTCTGGCTTTGCCCCGTGTTGCGGTCAGCAACTGCACGGACCCCGTCACTGTCCCTGGGTCCTGCTTTGCTCTTTCTTACCTCCCTGTCTTGCTCACGCTCCTTGTTTTGTGTCTGAGTCCTCCCTTTAAAGCACTGTCCAAGGCTCCCTTCCGCAGCCAGCTTCCCTCGCTGCCCCTAGAAGCCTAGGCCTTCTGCACGTCCTCCTGT